AGCAGTTTTAGCTGTTTCTAGTCCCTGCAAGTGTCTAATTGATTCAGTGAAATACAACATGTTTTGTGCATTCCACTGTGTTAAAGCCAATTAGTGGATTATGGGCCGCTTTACTTTTGTTGTTACAAGTGTGCTGTCGCAACAGCTACAGTATTTTTGTAAATCCACAGATATTTTCTGTGGTGACTGTGATTTGGATTGTCATCGTGTATTCATGCTTGTCGTTATATTATTTGGTTTCTTTATTTTTTACTCACATAATGAATTGTGCTTGCTTCTGTGTAACGCCAAAAATGTAGTAACATACATTACAGTTATCACGTTTTTCTGCAGGAGCACTATTTGTTGTTGTTTGTTGCATCAGAGTTCAGCAGCGCCTGCTGATCACGAACAACATCAGTTGCATGCACAATGCGTGTGACTTATGTGTGAAACCAAACATTGCTTTATTTACTGTGATGAGATCATTGAACTAAAATAGATATGAGTACAACATAAAGACTAAGCCTTTAGTGGAAAGGGAAGTGATAGAAAGCTTATTATAAGCTAATTCAGCAATGCATTACCATATGCATGAGATAAATAGTTGTCACTTTTGAAATGAGTAATAAACTCTGGTGACGGCACAGCTCTAGGGATGGCAATGTCAGTCAGTCGGTCCACCGCTTTGGTCCAGCCTGAGATATCTCAGCAACTTTTGGAGGGATTGCCATGAAATTTAACATTCGTGCCTGGCAAATGACGAAGCCTACTGACCCATAGACACAGCCGGCAACGAATTGGTTGGCAGCTAAAGGGCCCAATATTTCCTTTAGGAGTTGAGAGAGACCGCAAATGAAGCTAAAGGAGAGTGAATATTGGACTTACACTCACCAGCATGGTGGGAAAGTTTAAAGGTGGCATTAGATGACAAGTTACACCTGCAATGTTTTTGTCACCAAACACCTGCAAAGTGAATGCCATTCCCATCAGCCTCAGCTGTACTAAAAACACTAAACATCCCCATGTTAGCACTGTCATTGTGAGCTTTTTGATGTAACTACAGCCTCACAGGACAGCTCGCACAGCTGCAGGCTCTTAGTCTTGTTACCTTGTGCCTGTGGTTTACTATTATGCTTACATAGCATGTTATGTCCATGTGTCCATGTATAAAAAATGTCCATTCAAGCATGTACAGTATATGCACAGGCACTCACCTTCCATGCCTGGTTTTTCTGCGTGATCTGAACTTCGAAGTCGAAGGCTGTGATGAAGTAGGATACAGGACTGCCTGCACTCCATGATATCCATGTCTCATTGGCAGTGAGGTTGACTTTGGGAACACCTGGAGGATGCATTTTGACTGTACGCCCACACACACACACACACACACACACACATACACATTCTCATATGAGGAAAGAAAACATGCAGTTAAGTAATTCCTGATGTTTAAAAAGGTTGTTATTTCTGTGTATTACTTTGAAATCCACCAATATAAACAGTAAATGTTATTCTGCGGTAGTGCAGATTGTTTTCTTGACTTTTTCAACAATCTCTTAATGAATGAGAAATTGTGTAAAATGTGTTTTATAACCATATTTGTGAATAACACTTCAGGGGCTACAAAGGTAAAACAGTTTACTGAGGAATTAAAAGGCACTCACCGTGATCATGTGGGGTATAGTCTGTGAGGTTCTCCACCAGCGTACCATTGCACTCCATACGGATGGGCAGGCGTTTATATTGGTTGAATATCTAGCAGGACCCATAATATAATCAATTAAACAATGAAGACAGAAATCGTAATGGGTAAAGCAACAAGTCATGGCTTTTAGCTTGGAAAAATACTTTTGATTAGGGTATGATGGCTGATCTAAACATTAAAAAAATAAGTGATTCACAAGGGTATAGAGAAACCAATGTTTTTACACGTTATATGTGTAAACGTATACGAATATTAGTGACTTACTTTGCCTTTAAAGACAAAACTGCAGCCTGGAGGAGAGTTTCTGTGTTGTTTCAGCTTGCAGGTTTGACTAAGTTAAAAAAAGGACACAAATTATCATTAACTGCTGCAGATATGACCAACTAATGATCATGTTATTGTGTTATTACAAAAAACTCCCAGGAAAAGGAGTGATGATGATGTTTTGGCAAGCGATAATGTGTAGAATATCTCTAACATCTTACATTATGTTGTATGGTCTTGCACCTTGATCCCTAGTTTTCAACACACCAGAGATCCAACAGTCCACACCAGGAGCCACCGAGCCGTTCCACGTGCAGCTCACATTGTTGACATAGTCATTCAAGCAGAAGAGTCCTTGAGAGACAGAGACATAACAGCAGACAGAAAGAGAGAGATTAGGATGGTGTCTGTATTTATCAGTGCTGTCGGACTTCATGTAGGACATTCAGATAGACCAGTGATCTCTGTGCGTACTGGAGTTTAAGTTTCAAAACACTCGTTTTTCAGCTTTAAAATAGTCACGTTTAGTTAATATACTGTCATTCATGAATATAAGTCATGACACTTGCAGTGACACTATATACTGTGTATATATAGCAGATATAGTAGAAAAGAGACACTTTACATCGGTTCAAGAAAATAAATATACTAGAAAGACTAAATGAAAAAGCACATGAAAAAGAATAATTAAAGAAAACATTTTATTAAAAAAACTTCTGTCATCATCTTCTCTCCCTTGCGCCCAAAGGACATTGACATAGACATGACTGTATCAGTTATTATGATAATGAACATACTCAATCATACCTTGCGAGCCTTTGTGAAGGTGCATTGACTCCACTGAAAACAGAAGCACCAGGACGTGTAAGGACCACAGGATCTTCATTGCTATGACCACAATACGACTGTGAACAGAGAGGATCAGCACTCACTGTACATTAGAATCTGAATCAGTAGTGTTAAATACGTTGACATATTCAGCGGAAAAATACAGCTTGAAAAAAAAAAAAATTTGACAAAGGAAATTGTATACATGTTTATTCCAGAAGAAAACTGCCGGATATGTGTTAAAAACTCAAAGAGGCAGTGATGACCACATAGTAACTGTTATCGACAACAGTTACGCAAACAAGTTTCCAACTCTGTTTTTTTTTTTTTTTTTATGGAGAGAAACTCATTTCTGAAACCTTGACGTTGAGAGTGAGAAAACAACACTAGGTCCACACTGAGCAAAATAGTCATCCTGAGAAGGCAACAACCAGCAGTTATAAGTGAAACTTGGCACCTGTGCTGGTGCTCTATAGAGAACATATTAACTATGTGTTACAGTAAGAGCTGATATAGTGTCAAAGTTAAGTTTAATGTGGCTTATTGTTTTGTCTCTGCGGGGAGACAAGTGAGGAATACATTTCTGCTAAAAAAAAACAAAAACAGAAACCCTCAAAAACTGTGAAGAACTGACATGAAAAAGTATTTAATACATATATCAGGATTCAGATTATGATGACATGATATAAGTATTTTCTATAAAGCACCACATTTTGTCAGAAGTTTGAGTCATCAGATGATGCAGTTTTTTTCCATCAAAGCCTGAAGTGAGTAGGACTAAAATTAATATGTGTCACCATAATCAAAATGCATATCACAACATATTGTACAGGGGGGACAAAACC